GAGCAGCCTTCCACCCTTGTCCAAGGCTACATTTCAGCCACCGTCCCCAATGTGAGTGCAAGGAAGAGTAGGAGGGAGGGCGAGGAGGGAGGCGTTGAGCGTGAAAGCTTGCAGGAATACACCGGGTCTAAAATTGTTCCCTCTTCTCACGGACAGGCCCACGGCCTTATCCGTGAAAATCCGGAGTGTGGTGGCGTCCGAGGAGGGAAAGGCGGGGGGAGGGAAAGAGGAGTCGAAAGGGTCAGGAGCTGCCGGGGGCCCCGAGACCGTGCTGGCGAGAAGAAGAAGAGAGGAAGACGGAGAGACGGAGGACAGGCGGAGACCAGGCGGCGTGCGTGATGGGATCAATGGGGCGGGCCACGAAGGGAGGTTGTGATTTGTCGGCAACGGAGTAGATTTGGGATGGGGGGTACGAGGGTGTGGCTCAGGGCAGCGACTGGTACCGAAAAACGCCGAGTGCCAGTCACAAGGGCGTGGTGAGGGCCATAGCAATAGAGACAGGGTAGTAGCCTGCAGGCGTATGGTCGCGCGCGTGCGAAGGTCGGACAAGGAGCTTCATGGGACCGTAACATGTGCTAGAAGCCTAATGCCTCTTTCGGCGCGGACACGTAGGCACCGGAACGCGGGTCAATATGAAGCATCCTAAGGCAAGCTACATGGCTTTTTTAGATGTCGCTCGCTGACGAGAAATAGAGGGAAGTTTCAGTGGAAATATATTCTTGTGCGGAGGGGGAAAGGGGTACAGCAGCCAGTGTGTCGGTGGTCGACAGTTCGTAAAATTTGCTTTCACATGACTCAAGGATAAAATCAATTGACCTTGCCAACTCGTGCGTGGTGGGGGAAAATCGGGTGCCGTGGCCCTCCCTGGATGGTACTGGGTGTTTGTGTATACTTCCAATCCTTTCGGATGGGTCACATTAAATGCAGAGAGGCGCGTTGAAGAGGGAAATAGTACACGGCATGACTGACCTTTCTTCCTTCAAGCAAAACAATCGCTTCAAATGCTCTCCACGTGTCGCTTGTTTTCCATCCACTATCTTCCTTTTCCTGCCTTCTTCTGACCTAAATCGTTTTTCTCGCCCTCCTAGAGGGGGCGCAGGCTTTGGCTCTCTTCTGTCTTTCATTTCAACCTTCTTCAATTACCTGTGCGAGTCTTTGCTGCGAGTCTGGTCATTATATGCATCGGTGCAGCCTCCGTTCTCATCAGTTTTCGTCCCCGCTCACCCACTCGTCTTCCCTACTCTATCCACGCCGCTGGTCTCCTCCTCTATATGAAAGGGAATCTACCAAAGCCGCAGTACCTCTTGCTACACATTTAGACGTGAAGAAATATAGCAATCCTTGAAAGCAGAGCACAATTTCGTGCATAAAACCCCGATACCGCAGAAATTACGTTTTGTCGAGTAGAGACTTTCAAATGCTAAAAAAATCCTCTCAAATGCTACGTTCCTATCTATTCCTCCTCTCAAACTGCAGGTGTGGGCAAAGCTCGGGTGTGATGGCGCACCAAAATGGCGGAATTGGTCACCTGTGAAGAATCATACGAGACGAAGCGTCAAACAACGATACCCTCTACCCCTTCACCTTCTCTCTTTCATTTCCTCCTCCCCCTTCCTCGCCCCTTCCCCTCTGACCTTAAGGCGGTTCTCGGTGTCGGCGTCCAAAATCTCGCCTTCGTCCAATATAGCCAGCATGCGCAGGCGCGGCAAGCTTTGCGAAGCCTGAGTGATCCGGTGTGGGAGAGACAGGTAAGAGGGCTCAGGCCATGTAACGTGCCCGATCCATGAGCGCGGTCTTCAGGGAAGCCATCCGTCCCTCGCTCCTCCGAGCTTCGACACGAAAAAAGCGACGCCTCTACCTCCCAAAGGGGGCTGGCCCCAATCCTCATACATGTGGACTCGTCCACTCTCATCACACGCCTCTCCCTAAGCTCTATCGTTGGCCTCTCCTTGGCGGCTTGCACTACTACTGCGTCTCTCATTCTCTCCGATTTACCTGCAAGAGGAGCGCCTGTACGGTCTCCAGCTGTCTTTCTTCGTCCTTTCCATGCATCAGAGAGACGTAGAGGTGCCGAAGGGTGCCCAAGGGAGGAGAGTGAGGGGTGGTGGCCGGGAAGGAGGAAGAAGAGGAGGGGGAAGGAGCTCGGAGGCTGAGATTTTTGAGGACAGAGCCCAGGCCATCGGCCCCGATGTGCGTGTTGCGGACATCCAGACGCCTGTGATTGCGTGATTGGATGGTGAGGCGGGGGGGAGATATTGGGGAAGGGAAGGACGCATCCTGTGGGAGGGGAAGCAGCACAGGGAACAATGGGACCACATCGTTTCCCTCCCCGCCCCTCCTCCTCTCCCTCCATCCCCTACCGAAGTGCGGGCATGACCCTATGCTTGACGAGTGAGGTGAAGAGTTGACTGGCCCCAAAGGGGGAGAGACGGTTTCCGTGCAGATTCAGGGTCTGCAGGCGGGGAAAGAGGGGGCCCACGGACGAGAAAGGGGGGGAGGGCGAGGCGCGAGCAGCGCCGATACGCCTACAACGCCGTGAGTGATTTGCAGCAAGGGAGGAAGCGCGCGAATTGTTCGTTAGACGCAGATTTAAATAGAAGCTAGTCCGCGGA